TTTATTATCTTTAATTTATAAAATTTATAATTTATATTTTAACCAAATAAATTATATAAAAACGAATATTTTACAATCTTTAATTTAATACAATTATTAGGATATTATTTTCAAACTATAACCGTATCTTCTCAATAGTAAGTATATTTATAGGTGAATGTTACATGTGATTATGAATAGCATACATAGATAACCATAATAAGTATCTTCATATGTGAATGCATATATCATGTGACAGTCAGTATATTAAAAAAAAAAGCATATTTTCATGTGAATATCTTTGCTATATTATAAATCATTCTAAAGAATTTTAATTAAAAAAACTCAATTGATAAAATAAAAATGAATTACATAATTTTTAAATCTAAAAAATAAAGATTGTAGTAAAATTTTGAATTAAATAAATTATATAAAAAAAATTACAATATATTTTTTTGAATTTTTATTGTATTTTAAAATTGACGATTTTTATTTTCTTAAAAAATAAATTTTGAATTTTTCATTATTAATTTACAATAATAGATTTTCTTTAAAATAATCAAACCTTTTTGGGTCGTAACTAAAGGCTATGTAGTAGAGTATACGAAAACGTTACTTTGGGCTTAGAACCTAAAAACGGACCACATTTCCATGTGCAACTTTTTTGACATATAAAAAGAATTGCAACTACAATTTTATATGGAAATAAAACGTATTTCATTAACGAATGTAAACTGTATTTACATATTTTTTTGAAGTATATTTATATTATATTATAAATCATTTGACAAAAATTATTAAAAACCATTCTTTATACATGAATTATTGTGTATTAATGCATATTACTTATAATTTAATATTACAAGTAAATTATATATAAGTATAACTTACTAAAGCTCTATTTTTGAATTCGTATAACTAACTGCGGATAAACTTAATCAAATATAAGATAAAATTTTCATTTTAAATATAAAAAATCCAAATATAATTAGAATAATTATTGAGTTCTCACAAAATCATTATCTTTATAAAAAAAATTAAGTCAAAATAAATTGATTCACTATTTGACCTAAATTGAATTATAATAAAAAAATCAATTAAAGATATTGTACAAAAAAAACTTTTGAATATTTAATTTGAAATTAATATCGATATATTTTTTCAAATTTTTATGACATATTCAAATTTATTTTTATTCAAAAGTAAAAATATTATTTTTTTCAAAACCACATAAACCGTATTATATCAACAAAAACAAAAAAAATAAAACAGGACATTAAAATGAAGATGTATCTCGTTGCATTGCACGAGTACCCTTATAGTAATGTTTAATAACATTTTTATTTTTGGTGAGGTTTGAGCCTTTTATTTTTTTTGAAGGGTAGGGTATATCGATAACACAGGAATTGGTGGACTGAAGACTCTTTGGTATATTAAACGCCCTTTATGGAGTTAGCAAATCCGAGTCGTTTAAAATTGATTCAGTATGATATCGAGATGTCGATAACAAGTAATACCACAATAAAAATAAATGGGCCATATGGGGCCGACTTTATAGAAATCAAAGCTCGTACTTCCTTCTTTGACACCACTAGAAAACGACATTCTAACGTGGTTTGGGCCGATTCTTTTGTTATAATGTCAGCTCGTGGGCCTTCTACTTTTCTTCACTTTTTGGTTTTGTGTTATTACATGTTTATATTGAATCTATTATTTGAAACGAAAAGTAAGATTGAAAACCTCATTTATACTGTGGGTGCTTTTTGTTAAAACTTTATTTTTGAAAAAAGAACTGTAAATTTAACAATTTTATTGGTAGGAAGAAGTAAATATCGAGGAGTAGCATAAACAGCTCGAAACACATGTCCCTCCAATAATAGAATGGACTGCACTAGTCGTGCCATCTAACTAAATGTGGTTGAAACAATATCAATATTACGAAATGATCAATCAAAATAAAGTCAAAGAGATACAAAAATACCTCCGACATTCCTTGAGTTTGACAGCCCACGTAATTCATCGTCCTTGGATTGAATTGAGCGTTGGGTTTTTGTTATAAACTTGGCATTCTGGTTACCATGTGCAAAAAATCAAACATGTCTCAACCATAAGGGTGGTGCCTGATTGGTTTGAGTTTGGCTCCAAAGGTCAAAAGTATCATGAGGCATCAGGTTCAAATCCAATAAGGAATAAAAATCCTCTTGTGGCCACGGAGGTTCAAATGCGGTGACTTCGGACTATCTGCAAAGCAAATGGTCACCCTGGATTAGTCGGCTTGCATAGCGGGTTGGATATCTAGGTTAATAAAAAAAAATCAAACATGTCTCTATAAAATGTAGTCTAACCCTATGAAGTGCGGGTGGATTATTGATTCCTTGGAGAATCAACATATGAAGAGGTATGTTTGCATGTTGTTAAAATGAGATAACACATTAAGTTTTTAGTGGCAGGGGGTGGGTAGGACACATGTCATTGTTTTAGTGGATGGAACTATAAACTTTTTAAATCTTAATAGAATTCGACAGAACGTAAATATCATATGGCTTAAAAAACATGTCATTAGTAGATCCTTTGTGCCAATCCTTATAGGCGATCGAGATCATCATCTGAATTCCTAAACTTTTTCTTTTTTGATCTGCTATCAACCGTGGCTTCCATGACAACAGGTTTCACTACTCTCATGCCCAATACTGTGAACTCTAGCAATTGTCTGCTCCTCGCTTTTAGGGTCCACATTAGGATCGTATATGAAAAATGTGCCAATGCAATTTGGCCAGGGTGGTTTGTCAAAAATATGTTTCCAAACCTGAGGATGAAGTATAGAGTAAAAAAAGCATACTTGTTCAGTGGTGAATTCCTGCGGGCCATTGAAGTCGTTGTTTCTCTTCTGGACATCGATTGATCGCTTATGCATTGGTCATCAAACGCGCAAATCGAACCTAAAGTAAGTATAGGAATAAGTCCAGTGTCGATCTTCTCGGGGACTGAAGTCGTGATCAAGCTGACAGTTTATGTTATATATACTAATGCACGTATGTCACTTGGATCAACTACTAAATTGTCGGTTTAAGCTCAAGATTGAGACTCAAAAGGGAACGGATTTGCCCTTCAAATATGACGGGGTTAACAGAGCAAGAATTAAGGGTGTTAAATCGGGATAACCTATTTATCATAGAAAAAAGATAAGAACCATTTATGTACTTTAACGTATTTCAGAAACCAAATCCAAAAGTAAGGCATAACCCAATGGACGATTTATGTAGTTTAATCTTATTTAAATGAGTAAGACAAAGGGAAAATGGCCGTTAAATGAAAGAATGAAAATATGTCAAGTTTTGCAAACGTTACGGATGTATATTGAATAAAGAACATCGTAGGACAAAAATCGTTAAAATAGACAAATTGCAGGCTCTTTGATAGCTTTGGATAGCTTATGTCGGCACCCTTCCCGATTCGTTGCACATCTCAAACATTTTCACCATCATCGACATCTACGAGTACCATGTGGATGAAGCGATCCCTTTAAAAGATAACTCAAGGTCAAGTTCTTCCAAAGTGAAGAAAACTTATATGAGAGGTTGACGAGCGATACTGAAGACTAGATCAAAATCGTGAAAACGCAAACAAAAGGCTACATGACTTTCTACGCAAGCAAAGTCACCTAATAAGTCGTGTCAAACACTGGAGTCGAGAACAAGGAAGCAAAGTCTCACGTGACTTCTCCCATTGCTAAACCCCAGGCGCTAACTGCCTAACTAACTGTGTGGAATCTCACGAGTAACCGTGTGGCTAAACCTGCGACGCTACTTGCATGTGCCTAATCGGACGACTTTCCAATTAACTCAAGAAACCTATTTATCCTAAAAAACATAAAATAAGAACAAATTCATTGGAATGATTTGTTCTACGGGTACATATTACTATATACAACTATCAATATTTAAGCAAGGAACCATGCATAACACTGAATAGGGAGCCGCCGAATACACCAACTATGCCTAACATGTGAAACGGGTGCATAAGAGTGTTGTGCTCAGCTTGGAATACAATCATGAAGTTGAAAGTACTAGAAATTCCTAAAGACATACCACCAGAAAAACTTTCTTGACCAATTGGGTAAATTAAGAAAACAGCAGTCGCAACTGCAACATGTTCTTGAACAAAAATAAAGAAAAAGAAATGTTTCACTTTAATAAATAGATAAACAATCAAGTTTTACTAAATATACTGACTTCACAAGTGTTACAAACGATCCATCATAGACACTTGTACTAACTCTTTTTTGAAGTATATTATATATGGTGAAACTCACGAATTCCTCATTTCTTGAATCCTTGAACCTCCAAGAAATTTGGGATGTATCAATAATCCAGATGCCATAGGGTCAAAAACCCTCACTTATTCTATTTTTTTTTTTCATTAACCTGAATATTCAACCTGCTATGCGAGCCGACTAATCTCAGGACGATCACTTGCTTTGTGGATAACCCATAGTCACCGCATTTGATTCTCTGTGGCTACAAAAGGGATGTTCATTCCTTCTTGGCTTTGAGCTTGAGATCTCCAGACACTTTTGACCTTTGAAGCCCAAGCTCAAACCAATTAAACACCACCCTTATGGTTCACTTATTCTAGATTATATGTTCTCTTCTACTTAATTTTTTTTTATTAAATTAACCGTATGGTCCGAATTAGTTTGTAGATACTTTGACTAATTCTATAAGACCCTGAAAATAACGGTCAGAAAAGTCACGGGCTTTAAAAAAAAAGGCCCAATGGGTGTGTTGGGCTAATAGGATGTTTAATATGGGCTTTAGTTGGGCCGGACCGTTTTCAAAAAGTCAAAATTAACCTGTTGGGCCCATTTTCATTTTCTCTCCGTTTACTTACACAGACACCATTATTTCCGTCGAATTTTCATCTTCACCGTCTCCGTTCCTGCCTTCGTCATATGAGCTTCCATCCTCCATAGTAGCAGTTTACAGGTAAGCAATTTCTTGAAATTCCACACAATATCGATTAGTTCTCTCCGATCTGAGTGGAGGTGGTAACTTCGATGTATTCACTTTGTATATGTTCTTCGATTTATTCAAATTCGGTTGTGAATTGATTAGATCGTTTTGTTTTTTCGTCTCTCTTTTTGTTTCTATGTATGCAGACTGTTTATATTTTTGTGGAGGATCAAGAGTTGAGAGATCGATGGAGTGGACGACGGTGCAGCACTTGGATCTGCGGCATGTTGGCCGCAGTTCGAAACCTTTCCAGCCTCACGCGGCTACATTTCATCCCAGTCAAGCCTTGGTTGCCGTCGCTGCTGGAAACTACGTCATTGGTATACTCAATTTTATAGTTTGATTAGAAGCACAAACTAAATTTTAAGCAAAATAGATCTTTGAGATTGTTGCTTTTACCGTTATGATTTTTGGGACATGTGAGCTTATGAGGGCGGATTTTAAAATTGGCATTGGATTTAGGATGGAAGACGAATTTTGAAGTGTTAGGACAACAATTATAATCTGGTACTAAATGTTTTTGTATTCATGTTCAGAATTTGATGCCTATACTGGTAGCAAGATATCTTCGATCAACATTGGTGCTCCTGTGGTTCGAATGTCCTATAGTCCCACTAGTGGGCATGCAGTCGTAGCTATACTTGAGGTTAGTTTCTATTTCTCCCTTACTCATGATGTTGAAGACATTAACAGTTTCTGTCATTTCAAGTAGAACTTCTTTTATTGAGGCCTAGACACCTAAAAGTTTGAGCGTTTGGTATTGCCGTATTGGTTCTTGCATCTTTGATCATATTTCAATTTTTTGAATCAGTTCCGCCTCTCTGTATTGATCTTTCCAATCCATTACACAAATCATTTGTATTGGAGAATTTTCACATGTATGGCGTTAGGAATTCTTCTTCTCATATGTTAATTCTCTTTTGTATGTAAACTTCGTATCCTCTATTTCAGGATTGTACAATCCGATCGTGTGATTTTGATACAGAGCAAACTTGGGTTTTGCATTCGCCTGAAAAGAAGATGGAACGTATTTCAGTTGACACAGAAGTCCATCTGGCTTTAACCCCTCTCCAACCAGTAGTTTTTTTTGGTTTCCATCGCAGGATGAGTGTAACAGGTTTGTTTTTGGTCATTGCTTCTATTTGTTTGTTTCCTTGGTCCCTTACAATAAAGGCATATCCTCTACATATATGTGAAACATATAATATACATACACCATTCTATCTGCCATATGGCTGAATACTTGAAACTAACAATGGTAAGTGGTAGTGGATTATTATAAAACAAGCTTAAAGAAAATATGACAGACTTCTATGCCTTAGATAGATTGACTTCTACTTCTAATAATTTCTAGGTCTGTTAGCTTATTACTAATTCACTATTACTAGCTTTAGGGCGCTTGCAAGCACATATATTGTTTGCTTTCTCCCACACTGTATTACGATTTATAAGGTTTGGAATTTTTCACAGCGTTTGAGCGTTGTCTTCATTTTCCTTCTCATTAACTATATGCTAGCACTCTTAAAGTGAGCATTGGTTTAATAAGTTGTATATGTAGGCACATATACGTGTTTTAGAGAGGTGAAAGCTTGATCATTAAATATATTTAGCAAGATCTAGCTTCACCTTCAATTTTGAAAGTAGATGAATGTTTCTGAAATAAGGACGTCTTTTTATAATTAGAAGTTTGGTTGTATTGATTTCAACGATCAACCAGACAATGTCCAAATTTCAAAAAAAACCAATGGCATTTGATCCTATGGGGAGTAAATGATAAACACCATTGCACTATTTTTTAGTCTCAACTACTCAAATCCTAGATAAAATAGCTGTACTATGTGAAATTTATGCTTTACAGCATGCAAATGGGTGCCTGTTGCTGGAAATATGTGCAGTGACTGCATACCATTTTTTCCATTTGATCCTGATAGTATATGATGTAATTTAACTATATTCACATTGGAGTTCTCGTAAGTGGTTAATTTTATTAGCGTTCTGTTTAACATTAATCAGAATTTTTAGTTTGTACTTGATTTACAGTCATTGTACTTTTTTAGGGGAAGTGCTAATATTTCCCTATGTCATAGTCCTTATATGAAATACGAGGCCCAGAACCCTATACGGGGCAGTGAGACCACTTAGCAGACAAAATATGACAAAAGAACCTGTGGGAGGTATTCATAACTGAAAGTTAGATTCTCCATAAATTTGACACATAAGAGAAGGGACATGCTGCAACTTGTAGTTAAATCAGTTTGCTTTTATTATGTTGGCATATCATTGTGGCTGAAAACTTCAATTTGAAGAGTATATTCTCCAAGGATAAAACCTTCAGTAATCTGTATACAGTAACTTCTAGATATGAGAATGAGATTGATTTGCTGTTGAATTGTTTTTAAAATGGACAAGGACATAGGAGATGGTTGGACTCGAACAATCCCTAAAAAGTTACAGCATCTTCACAATTTTCTAAGTAATCAATGCTAGAAATTAGTAGTTGATGTCGTAAATCACCCGAGTAATTTATCTAAATCTGATTTTTGTTTTGCTGCATGAAGTTGTTGGAACTGTTGAAGGGGGAAGAGCTCCAACGAAAATAAAGACAGATCTCAAGAAACCCATTGTCAATCTTGCTTGCCATCCTCGCCTTGCTGTGTTGGTAAGTTCTTTGTCCATGTTCCAACCATTTTCCCGAAGTGTAATTGCTTCTATTTTTTTCCTTCCCTTATTCATATAGGTTTTCTTTACGACTTTATAACAACTTCATTTCTCCATTTCAGTATGTTGGCTATGCAGATGGTCTGATCCGAGCTTATAACATCCATACATATGCTGTTCTCTACACTTTACAACGTAAGATTGAAGCTGAACAAAATTTTCTGTATTATTTTGTAGTATATAAGACATTAGGTTCATTTTGATGTGATCAATCATATGTTTTGGTCTACCTGTAGTTGATAACACCATTAAGCTTATCGGTGCTGGCGCATTTGCTTTTCATCCAACACTGGAATGGATTTTTGTTGGTGACCGACGTGGTACGCTTCTTGCTTGGGATGTGTCAACTGAGAGACCTATCATGATTGGCATGTAAGTTGTCTGTGTGTTCCTGCCATTCATGAATTTGGTAAAAGCTTTATCTGGGTAAAGGCGAAGAAATTAGTATGATCCAATTCCAATCCTCTGTTTCGTGGCTGTGCTGTGACTGTACACTGAGGCATACAACTAACTATCAAAACTACAAGGATCTTGTATGACAAAATAAGTGTAAAAGTAAAACTTGGATAGGGATGAAGGCCTCTTGCTTTCTGTCCTTTTTAATTTCTATTTATGATAGATTTAAAATAACTTTGGACAATCGTGATAATACACTATTGTCTTTCTAGCTGTTAGGTTCAAAATTTTAGGAGATGCCTATACTTCAGTAACAAGTTTATAACCTTCATGTATTTTTACAATTTGGGTATCTGGTTGGAAGACACAACGACCAATACCAACCTGAGGTCGTCTTATGTAAGACACTGAAAGTTAATCACTGAAAATGATGTGTAAAATGAGCAGTTTAAGGTTGAGCGTAAGAAGTTATGTTCACAAGCAAGCTTATGCAAGATTCTTTAAAAATGGTCCTATGGAGATGCATCAAAATTGCTTCTGAATTTAGTTGTAGCACTTCAAATTTCTTAGCATTTCTGTGTGTGCAGACTATGGTACCATATTTTAGTTCTAACTTGACGTACTTAATTGGCTGATCTGTCATGAGTTAGTTTTGCTCAATCGTCTGGATCATTTGCTAGTATTGAGACTCCTACTCCCTCAAGGACCCAGCTGAGCAAGCTGCATCAGTGCTGATACAACATTTATCTCTTTCATCGTCATTATTGATTTAGAACTATGCTGTCTTCATGGTATCTGGAATTTTTCTTTGAAAAAGTGCTAGTTGGAACTCTTTACGTTGGCAACAATCTGCATTTAGAAAGAAAGTTTCATATGTCATGTTAAGCTTTCTCTTCTGTATTTATATATCCTTGGAGATTGTCTTCCATCTGGGAACCTCTCTTGCTTCTTCAGTGACCAGAAACTTATGGATAACATGTTGCCCAATTCTACAATTTGATTTTCTTTGTGAATTGTCTTTTGATCATATCAACCTCATCCTTTCTGTTGCTTTTACTGTTCAGTAGAGTTTTGCTTGAATTCTATTTACTCTTGCAATTTGCAGTACACAAGTGGGTTCTCAACCAATTATATCGGTTGCCTGGCTCCCCATACTGCGCATACTTGTTACCTTGTCCAAGGATGGAACTCTTCAAGTTTGGAAAACACGAGTTGTGCTGAATTCTAATAGGCCCCCGAAGCAAGCTAACTTTTTTGAGCCTGCAGGTTAGTAAGGGTGTATAGAATTTCTTTTCAGTTCAAATATGGTGACTGGCAAAACCATTCAGACCCTGGTTTCTTTGTTACTGAACATAAAAAATGTTGATGGATAATCATGCAAGCTAGTCATGAGGAATCCCTTCTTGCAAAAAAACCAATTGGACAACAATGGATTTAGATCTGATGTCATCAATAAAATAACAAGCCCATCAGTGAAACCCTACATGTTCATTAAATAACAAAATATCCTTGCCAATCCATTTACACAAAAAGCCTATATCACTTTAGATGCTGTTTATATAGTTAAGATACTATCCAGTTGCCAACATGATGCATAGGGCATAAGAATACATTTTTGTCATACAATAAAGTTCTGAACAGACCTACAACATGTTACAGAAAAGGAAGGCTAGGAAGAGAATGACAACATGTCTACTAGTTAATATGTTGGTTTATGACATAGTTGCAATAATAGTCTGAAGAAAGACCAATTTACACAAGTGACACATGCTAAGGGTATACACTATACTTTTACAGTTCACTTTATGTTTTAAATGGGTAATCTTTTGGAATTAATCCTTCTGCACATTATATTCATTTTTAATATAATTGTTGTTTATCATATTGATAATGGCATAATGCATTAATCTTCTTTTTTAATCTTTTGCAGCAATTGAACAGATTGATATCCCACGCATTCTATCCCAGCAAGGTGGTGAAACTGTTTATCCCCTACCAAGAATTAGAAGTCTAGAAGTCCACCCAAAATTAAATTTAGCAGCCTTGATGTTTGCAGTTAAGTCTTGCCGTTGTATCTATCTATCTATCTATATACATACATACATGCATACATACATACATGCATACATACATACATGCATACATACATACATGCATACATACATACATGCATACATACATACATGCATACATATATATATGCATACATATATATATATATACATATATATATATATATGTATATATATGTATATCTCTGGATAGATTGTTGATATCTAAAGAACTGACTGGTTGTTTCATAGCAGAATATGACGGGTGGGGACAATGCAAAAAATAAAGCTGCCTACACAAGGGAAGGAAGGAAGCAACTATTTGCAGTTCTGCAAAGTGCAAGGGGATCTTCAGGTGATTTTAGTCGTATTTTTGGCATTGTTTTGGCTTCTTGTTGTGGAAGGTTATCTATTTGTCATGTAACCATGACTGTGTTCAATCTTCTTTTAGGTGCATCAGTTAGCAATATATTTAGTTTTTCAAAGCAAGTCGTTATGTATAGGTTGTTTCACTGCAAACAAAAAGGTTCGTTAGGTAGATTAATAGATTAATGCTCTAACAAACTATATATATATTGTGAACGTAAGAATTATTTTAAGTGTATAGAAGTGTTATACGAAAAAGTTCCAAGTAAAATCCATAATATGGTAAAGCTTTGTGAAAAGAAGAAAATATCACCAATCGGCTTAAAATGTCAACACTCAACTGTCTTACAATTCATTAACCTCTTTTCAAGCACATACTTTTCTTAATATGTCTGTAGTCACTTTCTGTACTAATTTTGCATGTGATTTTGACAGCATCTGCATTGAAGGAGAAACTTTCAGCCCTTGGGTCATCAGGAGTTTTAGCAGACCATCAACTTCAAGCCCAGTTGCAAGAGCATCATATGAAAGGGTCAGTTCAATTATTGCATTTGTGTGTGACTGAAAGATGATGATTTTGTGCTCATTGGATATTCTCATTATGACATGTTATGCAAAAGCTCGATTTCTATCTCTCTTTCTCTCTCCAGGACTCTTTTCCTCTTAACATCTGGATACGAGGATGAAGGTCCTCTTGATTTTAAATTTGATTTTTCATTTTGCTAACAATTTGTTGTTTGCCAGGCCCAGTCAGCTTACAATCTCGGACGTAGCACGCAAGGCTTTTCTTTTCAGTGTATGTTTGCATTTTTAACTTATTAACACTTTGCTGAAATCACACTCCCTCTGTTTCAACAAAGGTCTACCCTTCGATTTTCAGGATTAATTGGCTTGCATTTTAACTTTAAAGTTCATGTGGATTCTAAACTATTTGACAACAAATTTTCTGACTACATTAAGCTATATAGCAAGTACAAGTAGAAATAGCACTGAAGTAGTATATTTTGCTTCTAACATGGGACAGACTATGATGGTAAAAGTTGAACAAAATTCATATCAATTCTGCATTTTTGGAATCCAGATTTGATACAAAAATTAGAGTTGGCTCACTTTCTTTCTTTTTTGAGTAGAGGGAGAGTTTATTTTTGAGTTATATGATAAAATTGTGAATATGCCAAACCACTTGGAAATGTTATGATGCAACTTCCACATCTATAAATGCTTTAATCTTAATGGAAAACTTAAATATATCACCAACATCAGTAACCTTGGGTGTAGTAGGATAAAGTTGGAAGCGAATAGAAATTGTAATCTGTGAAATTCCCTAGGGCTATCAAAAGTCAGTTTCATTCTTCCATGCAATCCTATTCAAGGCCAACCCCTTTAGTATATTCCACTCGTACATATCTATCTTTACAACTTCCCCGATGTCAATCCTGGTCKACCTCTACATCCAAATCAAGAAAGACAATGAATTTACGAGATCTTGATCCGTTCTTTCTCTCACGTCATTTCGCCCGCCCGTTTCACTTCTGTCAGCTAAACAGAGACGGAAATATCAGTACTATTCTGGGCCGGGGCGAGCACTCTCTTTTCTTTGTAAAATTCGACCTTTCCCACTAAGTCCAACGCGAGGACCCTTTTCTTTTATTAACTTTAAAGAGTGTCTCTCCTGTCCGGCGGTGGGGATTGTAACTTTCTATAAAATCCCCATTTGTCATTCAACGACGTCGAAATCATCGGCTTTCTGCCCCCCCCGGCCCTCATTTGGTACAAGTCTCCTCTTTCAACTTGTGCATTTAAAGGTCTATGTTTCAGATGATCTGACCATTTCAAGCTGTGTTGCCTCAGTTTTTCTGTGACAGGCTTCACTGCAACCTTCTCTAGCATGTCAATTTGATCCTATCCATCATTGCTATCCTATGTATCCATCTTCTCTAACAAAGTCATCAATCTCTCTATGTTCTATAACCAAAGTAAACTCATCTGAAAAACCATCAGAATGATGAAAATGGAGAAGCTTCAACAAGAACAGAAAGATAATTACATCATGTTTCAAGATCTGAAAAGAATTTGCTAGTTTCAAAATCTGAATCGAATGTGTTACCTTCCATACTAGAGCCCTGGAAGCATCTATATGGACCTCAACCCGTCACTTCTCTAATGTGTGTGTACTTAAGGAGATAAAATTCATTTGGTTTGTCTGGTTTTGCAGCACTTCATGGAAGGACATGCAAAAAGTGCCCCAATATCGCGCCTGCCTCTCATCACCATCTTAGATACTAAAAATTATCTGAAAGACATTCCAGTTTGCCAGGTAATCTAGTTTGCTAGTGACTTGTATATGTTTGTTGCTCAAATTTGCAAATGTTTCTGATTGCGATTGGCAACTTTGACAGCCAATTCATTTGGAGCTAAACTTTTTCAGTAAAGAGAATCGGGTTCTTCATTATCCTACTAGGGCTTTCTATATAGAAGGTGTAAACCTGATGGCATACAACCTGTCTTCTGGAGCTGAAACTGTCTACAAGAAGCTTTTTGCATCGGTACCGTGAAATTTCTCATCTCTGTTGGTTCCAAATCAATAAATTGTTACACTGAGCTTCCGGTTATCTACTTTCAGATGCCTGGACATGTTGAGTTCCATGGGAAATACTTGCTCCACAGTAGAAAGCAACACATGTTTCTTGTAGTTTACGAGTTTAATGGTGCTGCTAGTGAAGTGGTCCTTTATTGGGAAAATACTAACTCTCAGTCATCAAACAGTAAAGCCAATACAATCAAAGGTCAGTTCTGATTTATAATTACGAAGGACTTTATAAGTTCTACTAGATTCATTTTGTTGTTGAATTTTAGAATCATGATTCTTTGGGAACCTTTCAGGTCGAGATGTTGCATTCATTGGCCTAAATGATGGCCAATTTGCCATTCTTGATGAGGATAGGATTGAACTTTCTGTATATACTTTGCCTGGAGGTTCTTCAAAACCAGCTGCTGAAAAGAATATGATAGATGATGAAAATCAATATGAAAATCTTGACGTTTCCTCTATCAAGGGTCCACAGCAGTTTACCTTTGAAAGTGAAGTTGATCGCATTTTTTCTACTCCAGTAGGTAAGCAATAGTTTCTTGGTGTTTGATGCTGCTTGTAGTTACTTACGCAATCTGATCAAGGTCTATTGAATTGTAGAATCAACTTTGATGTTTGCTTCTTTTGGGGACAAAATTGGCATGGCAAAGCTTGTTCATGGGTACAGCATTTCTACTACAGATGGTCCTAATATGTCAACAAAAGGTGAAGGGAAAAAGTCAATCAAATTGAAAGCAAATGAGATTGTTTTGCAGGTTGGTAGCTTAACTTCAAAAAGGTTTTGCAATATAAGGGAATAACTGATATGAGTATAGGAATAGGATTCAACATCTAGACATATGATTACCTAGTGCAGTAATACAAAGCAGCTTGCACCTATGCAAAAGAACCTCATGGCTGGTCACCAATGTTTCTTTTAGTGTCTATAAATATCCTGCTTAAGCGTAATATGGAAGCAGGAAAAGTGTGAGTTGTCAGTGAAGGAGGATTTCTGGGGATTTAGCATGGCTTTCCTAAATTACTTTGAATTTTAGATTGTGTGATTTTTTCACTGGGATTTTAGCTAAAGTATCCTAAGAACCATGCCATGTGCTAAAGAGGACAAAGGGAACCACTTTATTAGGATGGAACCATCATCACCAACATTTGACAAAAACTTAAACACCACTACGTATTGCACAGCCTGACTGCAGATTCAAAATTAAGTCAAGTTGACCAAATAATGTCAAAAATAAGAACCTATGGTGCGGTTATATTGCATATAGCAACTTTTAGTCTGGCTTTATATTTTGTTCATACCTTTTCAGGTTCACTGGCAAGAAACTCTTAGGGGATGTGTTGCTGGAATATTAACTACACATAGAGTACTTATTGTCTCTGCCGATCTAGATATTCTCGCAAGCAGTTCCACGAAATTCGATAAAGGGCTTCCTTCAATATCCTCGGCTATGTCTGATTTAGTTTTATTTGTTCCAAGTTTCTACCCCTTTTCATTTATGATCCATTGCCTTTTGAGTAGTTAATTTATTTGAACTCTTAACTTAAGATCACTTTAGATCTCTTCTTTGGGTTGGGCCAGCCCTTCTGTTTTCCACAACCACTGCCATCAGCGTGCTTGGCTGGGATGGGAAAGTAAGGACCATTCTTTCAACTAGCATGCCAAATGCAGGTGAGATATAGAGTTACTTCCAGCACTAGGATTGTTTGTTTGCTTATTTCTGAGTTTGTGTTTTTCACTTGTTTTAGTCTTTATTGGCTACAAAACTTTAGAGTACCCTGCTATGTATATATAATTCATTCTGAACCATCAAAATGACAATATCATATGCAGTGCTGGTTGGGGCTTTAAATGATCGATTGTTGCTTGCGAACCCGACGGAAATAAATCCAAGACAAAAGAAGGGTATGGAGATAAAGCACTGCCTAGTAGGGCTTCTTGAACCTCTTCTTATTGGATTTGGCACCATGCAACAAAATTTTGAACAGAAGCTTGACCTGTCAGAGATATTATACCAAATAACATCAAGGTTCCTTCTCCCAGTTATATGCATGTTTTTTTGGGGCAGAAAGATCGTCATCTCTTTTTTTTTCATCGACATTAGACTTTATGTTGTTCTTATAGGTCCATTCTTTCTCGAAACATCTGACACCATGATATATTATCTTTTGAAGGTTTGACAGCTTACGAATTACTCCAAGATCTCTTGATATCCTTGCCACAGGTGCTCCAGTGTGTGGTGATCTTGCTGTATCGTTATCCCAATCTGGGCCTCAGTTTACTCAGGTGACTAATAATACATCATATGACCATTAAAAGGGCACCTTTTTCACCATCATTTTTTTAATTTCCTGCGATCTAAATTAGGTACTGCGGGGAGTCTATGCTATAAAAGCTCGTCGCTTTTCAACGGCTTTGTCTGTTCTAAAGGATGAGTTTCTGCGGTCTAGAGATTATCCACAGTGCCCTCCAACTTCGCACTTATTCCACCGATTTCGACAATTGGGTTACGCCTGTATCAAGTAAGCAGCTAAGAATATAACCAGAATATAGTTATGACTCTTTATCTGTTACAACAACCAGAATGTTATCTCCATTCCCCAAATCATGCCAACCCTTTTCTTTAAGAATCAGTTAGTAGGACTCATATTGCTTCATATTCTCACTTCAATTCACGAGTTCTAAGCAAGGAACTTGGATATGATCACTTTATATACATGCATAAGCGCTAGCATGGGTTAGTTTTGGGGTTTTAAAGGTGAATTTTCTGCATCCATTGATGAAAATTTAATTTCATTCAATGTTCTATGATTTGTCTTAAATGTTGCGTTCAACTTGATCACTTGCATCCCCGTAATATGTATTATAAGTGGTTCCTGTATTAGCATGTCATTATATGTTCTGGAAGCCAAGGTCCTTGGACTAGGTGTGAGTTTCAAGTACCTTCATCCCAATAATGATGCTTTGTTATCCCTAGCACAGTTTTTCATCGCTCAAGTCCTTTTTTTTTTACTTTCTTAACATGGGAATGGCAATATTAAATTGCAGGTATGGTCAGTTTGACAGTGCAAAAGAGACTTTTGAAGTTATATCCGACTACGAAAGCATGCTTGACCTATTTATCTGCCACCTTAACCCTAGTGCAATGCGGCGCCTTGCCCAAAGATTGGAAGAAGAGAATGTCGATTCAGAGTTGAGGCGATATTGTGAAAGGATACTAAGAGTTCGTTCCACAGGGTGGACACAAGGCATTTTTGCCAACTTTGCTGCTGAAAGTATGGTTCCAAAAGGACCCGAATGGGGTGGCGGAAATTGGGAAATCAAAACACCCTCTAGCACAAAGAGTATGCCTCAATGGGAGCTGGCAGCTGAGGTGATGCCATATATGAGAACTAATGATGGGAGCATCCCGTCATTATCTACCGATCACATTGGTGTTTACCTCGGTTTAATTAAAGGAAGGGGTAACATTGTCGAGGTTAGTGAGGGTAGTTTGATAAAAACGTTCAAATCTGAAGCAACCAACGTTAAGTCCGATGGTCTCCCGACATCTCTTACTGCTTCCACAAACAAGGCATCCATGGATGCTGCTTCAAGGGGTGATTCCTTGATGAATCTTGACTCTCTTACGAAGACCTCTGCAGATTCCAGTGCAGCAGATGAACAGGCGAAGGCTGAGGAAGAATTTAAGAAATCATTATACGGTACTGCTGGAGATGGCAGCAGCAGTGATGAGGAGGGCATTTCTAAAGCTAAAAAGTTGCGTATAAGGATAAAACCTGCAGCTTCTACTACCGTTGATGTAGATAAGATTAAGGAAGCCACAAAGCAGTTTAAACTTGGTGAACCGTTGGGTGCACCAATCAGTAGGACTAAATCATTAACCAGCCAGTTCCAAGACCTTGGCTTGAATCCTCCTCAACCTGCCCTTCCTAGCGGTGGGACTGCAAATACTCTTCCAGTTTCTGCCCCAGTTGATCCTTTTGCAACCAGCTCCTTCACACAAACACCGCCTGTATTTCCGGCAGGTCCTTCAGCTACGGGAGCTGCAGTTGGGCCCCGTCCCATCCCGGAGGACTTCTTTCAGAATACTATACCCTCTCTCCAGGTTGCTGCAGCATTGCCACCTCCTGGTACTTACCTGTCCAGATATGATCAAAATCCTCAAGGGGTTGAAAGCAGTCAGGGGTTACCAAGTCAAGTGAATCCATCTGTGCCTAATGCCGGTGTAGCCGCTAGTGTGATTCCTCAAGTATCCATGCATCCTGTTTCTACCGAGTCATTCGGACTTCCTGATGGTGGAGTTCCACCCCAATCCATGAGTCAACCTGTGGTTATGCAACAGCCTCATGGCCAGGCAGCCAATGTTCCTGTCTCCACCCAGCCCCTTGACTTGAGCTCTCTTGAAGGTCCAGGTTCTGCAAATGCAGCAAAAGCTTCTGAGCCACCCCCTCCAACATCTGTGCGTCCAGGACAGGTGAACACGTTTGCTTTTGTTTCCCGTTTAAAATCTTTTGCCACTTTATACAATTTCATGGTCATAGACTCATAGTTGCGTGACTTCAGAATCTAGATACATGAATGTAGAATTATATGGCTCCTTGGTGTAGTTGGAGATGCACAAAAGTTCCAAAGTCCAGGCCTAAAAGCCCAATAGGGCCATTTGTCTTTTCAAAAGCCCAAAAAACCCGGTCAGGCCTGTTTTCACACTCTAAGCCCGGGCCCAAAAATCCTGGGGTTTTTAACTCGATATGTGGTGTGACACATGCAACATCCCCAAAATGCATCTTGACATTCCAAGTAGAGTGGCTTTGGTAGAAGATAGTCTTTTACTCCTAATTACCTGAAGATGTCAAGTGGATTCTTATGCTTCGAATATGTCTTATTCTACCTTATACCAAACTTGAATCTACAAACGTGTCTTTTTAATCTATCTGACCTGACTAAAAAGCAATGCCAATATCTGAGAGGATTCTTAGCCAAGTGGTGTAGCATAGTCAGAGATACCAGTAGATAACTCTACTGAAAGTTTTACTTGGATTCATCGTTCACCTCCCCCCCCCCCCTTCTTCTCTATGTGTTCTTTTTACCATTTTCATGACTAAATTTGTTGTAATAGGTTCCTCGTGGAGCAGCTGCTTCAGTTTGTTTCAAGACTGGACTTGTCCATCTTGAGCAGAATCAATTACCAGATGCATTGTCTTGTTTTGATGAAGCTTTCCTGGCATTAGCAAAGGACAATTCCCGTGGAGCAGACATAAAGGCACAGGCCACTATTTGCGCTCAATACAAAATTGCAGTCACTCTTCTTCAGGTATTCCTTCTTCTTAAAAGTAGGGGTGGACTTGGTACAGTACCGAGTTTCTTTCTCCAATACCATATACCAACCATTGGTAATTGGTACCGTCCTTTTTCGGTTGGTACATACTGGTACTGGTTTTGTAGCAACTTCAAATTACGTATGAAAACTTGCACTTCTGTTGAAATTTAGAGTCACGTTTTGAATTAGTAGGTAAGACATGTCATGTTTAAGTGTTTTTTTAATTGCAAAGAATAAAACTTGCAAACACTCAAATGTCTCAAAAAGTTAAAAGTTACAATATTTAATATTCAATACATCAAAAATACAAAAACTTATAAATAATTATATAAGCTAGTATCATGGTACTACCGTGGTATGGGACTTCCAATACCGTGTACCAACCAAGTTTCCATACTTGATATGGTAACTACCAACTGACTGCAATTGGTTAATTGGTATGGTTGGTTTACATGTTGGTTGGTTGGTTTGGTACAAAATTCCCACCCCTACTTAAAAGATTAGGCAGCATTCTCTTGTGTCTTTGAATGATTAAACACTAAACCTGTGGGATTACATTTCATGCCATCTATGGCATAGTAATTACTGAAATCTCGATCCACATATGTGCACATAAAGAGAGTCTGTTTCACTCTAACACCTACCCTACAAGGCTACCAACATTTTAAGAAGAGGGGGGGAGAACAAGATAAATTGTGTTCTTATGGTTTTATAGTTTAGACTCTTAAAAACCACACCATTATTATTTTCCTCCTGTTTGCTTTTTTATATATAAATTAGCACATCATATACAAGCCATCTATTGTNGGGGGGGGGGGGGGGACCCATGGAAACAGCCTCTCTACCACTTGGGGGTAGCGGTAAGATCCGAATACATTTTATCCTCCCCGGACCCTACCTCTGTATGGATTTATTGGGTGCTTGGTTGTGTTTTATTTGGTTTATACAAGCTACCCAAGTATCTATTTTTCCTGATGTGTCGACTTAGAGAGTCCAACTACTGCATCCAACACCTCATATACGCCATTGTTCTAATTTTTATTTCTATATGTTTCACGGTTAGAATGATAGGAACATGTCATGAGTACTTTCAGAAATACATTTAAGAAGATCAAAGAACCAAGTCAAGAATTTAGAAACAGGGTTAAGGCATATACACAGTAAATGCCTATTGGTTGCAGAAGAAAAACCAACAAAATCAAGGAAAAGCATTCTTATAGGTGGAACCAAATAATTCAAATTGGGGGTGAGACAATAAGGAGATGATAATAACAACCAATTCCGACTTATGGGACGTTTATCGACACAAATTGCGTAAGCGCTAACTGGGTAAGAGTGCACTCTGGATAAGAGGTTTGGTCTGGGTAAATGTCGACTTAAAATAATTGTTTGCCAAGTGTTATGTAGTAAATGCTTACAATTAAAAACAATTTGGGTAAGCACTGTTGACTCAGCCTACCACATTGGTGGCTGACTCGATCAGCATCTCAGTCAGTTAGAAGTGTAGGTAAACATCATTTCTTACCTGGTAGTAGGAGACAATTAGCACCAAGTATACAGCCCCTTTTTTTATAGAAGTTTATAGTATTGAAGCTATAATTTGTCGTACGAGATTCTAATGTTGCTATATAAATAGGAAATCGGTCGACTGCAAAGGGTGCAAGGTCCAAGTGCCATCAGTGCAAAGGACGAGATGGCAAGATTATCCCGTCATCTGGGTTCACTCCCTCTACAAGCAAAACACAGAATAAATTGCATTCGAACGGCCATAAAAAGAAATATGGATGTGCAAAATTACGGGTACGCCAAACAAATGCTCGAGCTGCTTTTATCAAAAGCACCTCCAGGGAAGCAAGAGGAGTTAAGAAGCCTGATTGATATATGCCTTCAAAGAGGTTTAACCAACAAATCCATCGATCCATTAGAAGACCCTTCACAATTCTGTGCCGCCACTCTTAGCCGTTTGTCGACCATCGGGTATGATGTTTGTGATCTTTGTGGGGCCAAATTCTCGGCTCTCGCTTCACCCGGCTGCATTATTTGTGGTATGGGAAGTATTAAGAGGTCGGATGCACTTGTGGGACCGGCTCCTGTTCCCTCACCTTTTGGCTGACCGATATTTTTGCATAACTAATTCTCGTATATTGTTGTAATGTCGGTTTTCTTTTTTGCGCGTGTGCTAGGGTAAGGCGAGAATTGATAGAAACTCGATCGTGCTCTCTTTGTTTGTGTAGGATGGATGTATGTGTTTAGGTGTTATTTGTGGGTGTAAAAAGCTCAAATGGACCACACTTTTCTTTTATCTGTATACAAACTCAAATATTGGTTGGTTCCACACGAGGTTTTTTGTTGTATCCGAGCTAGGTCTGTTTGGGTTGGTTTATTTATTTCATTTCTTCTTTATGTTCTGGTTTTTCTTTTCTTAGAAAAGGACTCGTTGGCTACGGGATTTGGGTCTGGAACCAATTAAGGAGACGGGACCGATTAAGCCCAGACCAGACTAGTTAGGCAAATCTGTAGGAGTTGTTAAGGATCGGTCCAGACCAGTTAAGCAATTTTACAATATCAATAATCTGTAACGTTGGTTTACATATGAATTTTCATATAAATGTCTTCGGATTTTTTCAATAATTTACGTATGAACTTTTCTTTAATATTTTATTCTTATCGTTTCACGATATTTAGTCTTCTTATTTGATAAGAATGTAAGAGTTTGAAAACAAAACTCGGGAATATACTGCTACTTCCATAACCACTAAGGTCTTTTGTCTTTACCTTTCTTATGTATCGTAATGGACTATTCCATCAAAGAAATTGACGGGGACACGCACAAGCAGTATAGCATGTGGTTTAATTGAAGAATTGTCGATACGTAAAATCATAATTATTGATACAGGCCTTCGGTTAGACCCCCGGGCTCCTCCCACTGCTTGGGAGCATTGGGGACTCAGAGTTAAGTAGATTGGAATGAAAGACGATAAAAGATGTTGAAGCTAAAAATTAATCCAATTTGATCCCTCAATCTCAATGGTTCATCAACCCATATATATTCAAATTTAAAGAACAGATAAAAGCTAAGTAAATTACTTTAATACCCCCCCCTCTTTCTCCTCCTACATACCAACTTGAATGATCCCATTTTCTGTATATTGTACTCTTGTATGTACTATGTACAAAACTTCCCATTCTACACTCTAAATCAACATTTTTTGTACCACAAAAACCCAAAAAATTGCACAATTTGAATCCTTAATATCTTCAAGTTCATGTGTCCAAATCTTTCTTCCTGTTTTCTGATTCGAAATCCAAAATCCAAAATCTATCATCTTTGTATGAGGTATCTGAACCTGTAATCGTAAGGCATTACGTGAACCCTCTTCGAAAGAGGCTCTCTACCTCTCTTCTCAAGGCACGTAATCGCTTGTTTCCTTAGTTCACCCGGTAACTCTAGGCAAACCCAATCCATCAAAGCTTCCAAATCCTTTGCAAAGTCTAGCAGATACCAATCTAACATCTTCGGTATTATTAATTTGTTGCTTTTCGTCATGCCAAATGCTGCCTCGAGGTAATCTCTCTTTGCTGTCGCTAACTCGTTCTCCACTTGGGTTGCAGTGTACACCCTCACCTAAATATAGCAAGATTTAGTCCGAAAACTTTCACCCATAATCGTGTCTTAAACACGATGTGACCATCTTTAAACTCAAAGTATCCAAAGTGAAGCTTTTTAGCGAGCTTTTTGGCCACGTAAGATCGTGGAAAAGCTCATGACAACAAAATTCACCTTTTTGCTTACTAGCTGGTTGTGTTTGTTGGTCCCATTTTTCAGGAAAATGCTTAATGAAAAAGTCCAACCATTGTGATGCTCTCATATCAAAATGCTTAATGAAAAAGTCCAACCATTGCGATATTCTCATGTCAACACAAACATGTTTTTTTAACGAAGGAAAGGGAAGGAACTGAGGGGGAAAGAAAAAAACGTTGTGTTTTTTTGAGGATGGAAAGGAAAAGGAAGAAAAATAATATTGATTTCCCCCCAAATGTAGGAGGAAAGGAAAGGAAATAAATAATAACAAATTATAAACATTTATAAAATTACATATTTACCCCTCAAATATTACGTGTTGAAAAATAAATAAAGGCATATTTGTAAAAATTGTATCTTTCCTTTCTTTCCTTCTCAAGAACATGAAAATTTAGTTTATTTCCTTCCTTTTCTTTCATTTTCTTTCCCTCTCAAGAACACGAATAAAAAATTCCTTTCTTTCCCTTTCTTTTCATCCCTCATTTTTTTTTAAATTCGAGAACGCAGCGGTAGGGTCCACAACATCTCAAAAGCCAATGATTATGTCAGCACTTGATGAAAGATAGATAGGTCGCAAAGTGAGTGTCTACATTTCTATTTAGTTTATCTAAAAAAGAAAGTGGATACAAAAAACCTGTCCAGAAGTCCCACGTTACATCCTTGTCCCACCAATGAAATTGAAATACATCAGATTTTTTGGTATATTTTAAATTTATTTTATTCAAGTTCACATTCTCTCTCTGATTTGGTGTATTCGTGTGATTGGTGAACATGAATAGAACAAGAGATTTTTATCCAAAATAAGTGTCTACTTTTCTAATTTATTAGTTCTATCATTAAGGGTAAAATTGTCATTTAGCTTATTAAAAAGTGTAGCAGTTACATATTTCTAAAACGGTGTCTTTTTCATCATGGACAAGACGGAGGGAGTACATGGTGTATGGACCCCATACGGACGTTCCCACGTACAAGAAAGGAGGCGAACTTACCGCAGGGGAAGACCAGCTACCGCTGCATAATGCAAATGTGACCAACGGTTCAGACCACTCCAACCCAAACTTGTCACGAACTTCAGTCTCGTCTTTTTCCGGTGATTTTGAGCATGACTGACCAAAATGGATTTTATATGTAAATATTTTGCACACCGCAGAAAAATATGTACTAATTATGATATAGATAGGTGAAACTACAACTACAACTTACAAGTTTTAAGCGATACGGCAGCCTCAAGATGAAATGCTCAATCGTGGCTGCATTTAGCAAATGCCCGCCTACAGTTATTGTTGCCTGATGGAAGTGGAAATCAAACTTTAGTCAATCTTAGATATTTTCAACCTATCAACAGAACGAATAATTGTTTAAAAGCGTGTTCTACAGTAAAAATAAGAACCATGTGCTGATGAAAATGGCTGAAACCCATGAAAAACTTCAATGGATGAGTAGAATGTAGAATTAGTTACCTTTTGGATTAACGTTGGCATCATTTCAGGATTCTCGGGTATTCCATGCTCTAAATATGCCTGCCATAGTACACAACATTGTAACAGTTGGAAAAGAATAGATTAAACCAAACCAAACCAAACCAAACCAAACGAACCCAATAAATCCCAAGCAGAGGTAGGGTCTGGGGCAGGGCGTATGCAAATATTGCCAAAGAGGGCTAAGACCCCCGGATTTTATAACAAAAATTAAAAGAAACAAGAGACGATATATGCAAATGCAACATATGAAAGCAAAATATATCAGAGATGCTTACATTCATCATACAAATATTGTAACTATTTATCCAGAATGCAAGCTTTTGTTGATGTGTAAGACCTTGAACATTGGCAGAGGCCAACTTCTCAAGAAGGAGCCTGAATGTTTGAGTAGCACAAAGGGTTAGTAGCCGAACAACACCTGGGATACCGGTAGATCCCAACCTCTTTCTAGGCCAAGGGTTCAAACCTCACCAAAGGTTATATAAATAAATAAATATATATATATATATATATATATATATATATATATATATAGGGTTAGGTTGAAGGGAAAACCGTAGGAAAATGAAAAACCGATGGACACCCTAATAACCATTCATCTGTACGGTATGCACACATGCATAACAAGCACACGTGCATAAAAACCAGGAAACATCTTCAATGGCTTGTATGCACATGTGCATACCATACAAATGAATGGTTATTAGGGGTCTTCCTCAGTTTTTCATTTTTTTGGAGGTTTTCCCCTGAACCTCCCTATATATATCTAATATATATATATATATATATATATATATATATATATACTTAAAAAGATAATGATCAAACTTACTTGAGCCTACGAGTCAAGAGGGAAGCATTGGTTTTCTTTTTAAAATCAATTGAGCCAGCTTCAATAGCAAAAAGATGTTTGTAAGGGCCAATATCTCTCCTCTTTGATTTCAAACAGATACCATAAGGATCCCTAAAAGCAGGTCCACGATCGCCCCCAGTTAAATCCAAAGACATTAGATTGGAAAAAGCTTCTGCATCCATGGTTTTTGCCTTCAACTTGCTCAGTCTTAAGAAGATTCCAATCAAGCACTTCAACGCATTCTCAGAAATTTTGTTGCATTCACTTTCAGCTTCCAACATTCTATCACCCGAAGATGAGCTAGAGCAGCTTTCTTGTGCCCTTTCTTGATCTGCTAACCTATTCTGTAGCTATGCAATTGCAAGTCAGATAGTTTACAACCACAAAGGTTAGGGCCTTGAGGTTGGGTTTGGCTCGGATAACTTGCTAGGAGAAGGTTAAACATTATTTACCTTCAAAAAGTTGGCTACGAGGTCAAGCAGAACACTTTGGGCTCAAAATGGATATGAATTCTTTAAGGTTCTAATAAAAATTTTGATCACTATATAAATTTATGACAAAATGTAATCCAATTTATTGAAGATTTTGGACTCCATGTTATTGACTGAAAGCAGATCATAGAAAAATTTCAACAACCCATCAAGCAAAAATTTGTTGTTGATCAACTTGGAGCAAAACCTTCACTGAAATTGCATAATTGGACCTTTTAAAGTTGAATATCAATATAAAATGTGCCATACAATTTCTCGAAGTAGAGTAGTAGCAAAATAATCTTAGATGATACCTGCAATTTGGGAGGAGTGCGTTTTTCTGCAGTTACAGACTTGACTGGAATTCTCTTCACCGAATTTTGCACTTTGTTGGCTATCCTTTCAGGAGAATTCTTAAGCTTGCTATTCGAATTAGAAGATGATCGGTTTTCTTTACCAAGAACACCATCATCTCCAACAGAGGAATCAGGTTTCTTTAAATCAGTATGTTTCCTTTCGACCCACCTATTCAAGAAATCGCTCCCAATTTGATGAGAGTATGTCATTCTACTCGAAGCACTTCTCGAGAGCAAATTCAAAGGTTTTTGTTGTGATTCTTGGGATGATTCTGCATCAACTTCAACTGGGGACATTGATGATCTTAATGCATCATGCTTAGATGTAGTACTTTTCGAAGATTGTTCTAATGAATTATTATTATCCGAATCCCCGATGCTGATTCTGGATGATAGATAAACAGCTTCCTGATATAAACCCTGCCGAAAGCTAACGACCTCTTCCTCTAAACGTACAACTTCTTCTTCAAGAACAGCTACTTCAGCTAGTAGCTCTAAAGTCTGCCAATTTTTACACAATTCATGTCATGTTCCATAATTGTACCCTCCAATTACAAATCTTTGCAAGTTCGTAAAGTATCAAAGCAAAGTGACAAGCCAGAATTGTGCCCAAAAAGCATATAAACCCTTTAAAGGATGATGGATTTCAGGCATGATTTATCCCTAATTAGTATTTGATTAGAAAGTAAATAAAAAAATAAAGAGGGTAGAAACCTGGGGAGGAAGATAAGGAGGAAGATGAGGTAAAGTTCCTAAACGTCTACTGAATGCCCTCTCCAGTGCTTTATGTACATTTTCTTCTTGTCTTAGTTTCTTCTTCAGCTTATCCACCTGCCATAAATTGAAACAAAAAGGATCCAATTTTTATAAACTTCCAATCAAGAAATGACATTATGTGTGCATTATATATATAGATATAGATATATAAAGAGAGATGAATGACATACATCTTCAAGAAGTGCAAGCTTTCTTTCTCTCCTTGTAAGGCGTCGATTGAGGATGGGTTTTCCGGTAAGTCTTGATTTACATCCTTGTATTTCCATCTTGTTCTCTTTGGAAGTTCCAATCTTTTGGGTGGTCAAAAGATTGATCTTTATAGGATTCAGTTGGGGAACACAGTAAGATCGATTTCAATCTCAAATTTTCATTAAAAGAAATAAATCAAAAGTAGGCAAAATCCAACAGCGTCATTTTCACAAACACTTGATGGACACTAGAGAATTAGAGATAGATACGATATTCTCGCGATAATCAAACAAGAAAGAGACTGAATAATGAAATTGAACCCAGCAAAATCCAGCAAGAATGAAAGATCAGAAGACGAAGAAACCCTCAATTCCCATTTCATTCATCAAATTCAAAAGGGTTGAAGCATAAAACCAAAAGGAACACAGGGATTAATGAAACAGAAGAGTAGTTACTAAAAATTCAAAAAGAAAAATATGAGAGAAGGTTTGACAGGAGAAAAGATACTTTTTTAAGGTGGTAGTGAGCGGGAAAAGGTGGTGGAATTGCGAAAAAACATGGCGACTGTGGGTGCATATAATAATGTCCCATCTGGAGTAAAAAAGCAACAAATTCAGTCAGAGAGATTGGGAAAAAGACGAAAGAGGAGGGAGGTTCGATGAGAGTGTTGGTAGGCCACCGCCATGGACAGAGCCAGAGAAGCTCTGTGAAACGTAACAACTACACATCGGTGACATATATGCAGACCCTCCTTTCTCTTATCATCAAATAAATACAATTATTTATTTATTTATTTTATTACTTTTCCTCTAAAATAAAAAAGATTGTTTCACAGCGTAAAATAATTAAATGATCAGAATAATTAATAGGATTCATAATATACTATAAAATAAAAATATATAAGTTTGGTAATTGTTTACAATAGAATTAGGATGTTAAATGAGTAAGGGAGACGCATAATACAAAATCGCTAAGAGAGTTAAAATTATTAAGAGGTAGACTATTTTTTGTCAAACAAGATTCACCTTTTAACGATTCAGAAACTGTTTGTTAATGAAACTATTAAGAGGTAAATAAAGAACCAGGTTCATTTATGAACCTTAATTATTTTAAAAACCCAGAAACCACTTATTTTGTACACTATTCATGATAAAAATTCCTAATAAATAATATTATTATTCATCATGAATACTACATAAAATAGATGATTAGATTTCTAAAAATAGTTCAAATTTTAAATTAACCTCTTGTATTTAATTAAATATTTATAATTTAACATACTTAATATT